TCTTGGCCGCTTTTATAGGGGGGGGGGGGGAGACGGGCGAGCCGCTCCAGGCGGTGGGAAAAGTCGGTGGGCGAGTGGGTGGGAACAAGAAAGGGGCGAACATTCCACGAGATCCTGGACAAGCGCGAGGGCGGTCACCGGGGCGTACGTCGGCACGGAAGACCGAGGTGTGTCGACAGGAAAACCGATCGCCGGCACCGGTGAACGGGTAAAGGGGAGAGAATTATAACCAACAGTAGAGGTTATTCGACTGTTCGAGGGAACTGGCCAGCCCCGCGAGAAGACGACCAACAACACCAAGTGGCCCCGGCCAGGGGGGGGGGGAGGGGGACACAAGCACAAAGGCACGCACTCAACGAATAATCAAAAGGATATATCCCCCCACCACTGGCCTCCGCACGAATCCCCACGCGAATCTCCCACGAACCCCCGCGGCCGACGGGCAGAGGGCAGAGGGCAGCGAAACTGTCTCGCGACTTTTACTCCGCTGATACAGGGGGGAAGGGCGAGGGGCCGAAGGGGGGGGGGGAGGGGGGATACAAGGCGGTCGCCTGGTGGCGAGGTCGCGCGCGGGCGCGGGTGTCGCAGGTACGGCGGGCTGGGTCGCCGGGTGGTGTCCCGGAAGGTGGATTGCGGCCGGACCATAATCCCAGGCGGCGACCGAGTGGTCACACTGTGGCCTCCAGAATGGCTGCTCACCGAAGACATCACACACACACAAACACACACACGAGCAGCTGCGTCGAAGTCTCGGAGCCGGAAACTTGTTCCCCATGCAGCCCCTCTTCTTTGTCGCAGAAGCACGGGGCAGCGAGAGAAAAGGTCTGCGAAGAAAGCACCCGGAGAATGGCCGACGAGCCCTGCACAACAGGGGCAGTCCCCTGGCCAGCGGCTTGAAGAACACAGTTCACAAGTCGGCGCATGGTTCTTGGGGGCCCGAAGGGGGGGGGCCATGCGGACACGAGGGAGGGGGCTAGAAACATATGAACCGTTCACGATGCCCGCCACGACTGGCAAGCCCGCTCGGCTCGCGGAGCGGGCTGCTGAGGTGGCCGGAGGGGAGGCTGGCCCCTTGCCCACGCGGAATGCCCCCTGGCCTTCTCCGCGCCCTGCCCACCGCCGACCGCTTCGGAGCTATGTTCCTCAGACAAAACCTTCCTAGGGAATTTATCGCCAAAGTACGCTACTGGTGGCGGGGTGCTTACTGGGGGATGGGTAGCCGCCTTTGGGTAAAGTCATCATCGGGGGTCTGGGCGTGATTACTTCTACTCACGAGACAAATGTGGTGCCAACGAAGGGTCTCTGCATTTGGTTCCCGTCTCGTTGGCTCCTCAGGCAGCATGTTGATGCGTCCGACCGAGGCGGCCCCCGGCGAAAAAGCCCGCGATGCGGCAAGGCTGATCCTGGGCAAGGTGCCTACAGCTACAGGTCTCCCTCGAGGCATCTTGAGAGCGTCTTCGGAGATTCCAAACGCCGGGGCAATCCTTGTGTCTCCATCCACGCTGGCATGAAGCGATTTTGGCTCGTCGAAGGATAGAGGGATTTTATTCCAGCCATATCATGTTTACACACCAAGCACTCTCCTGGGGGTGGGGGGGAGACTCGGCCGGCGCCACATTACATTTTTTCGGACACACAATGAAGCTCCCAAGATAGATAGCAAGGGGAGGATGGATTATTTGCATTACAACAAACGTCGATGCTGAAGTCGGCCTTGGGACCGGGGCCCGAGACGAAAGAGGGAGGTCTCCGGCAAAGGAAGTGAACGCCGGCTTCATCGCCGATCTCCTGTCTTTACGGGTGCGCGGGACGAGGTGTGAACCTTGCATCTGATGGCTGACAACCTGAGGTCAAAAGGCGTAATTGCGTGGCAGCGGACATATGAACGGGATGACTCTAGAATGGCTGGGTGAAGGAGAATGTGCGAGAGAGAGAGAGAGAGAGGGGGGGAGGGAGAGGGGGAGAGAGGGAGAGAGGGATCGAGGGAGAGAGGAGAGGGATCGAGGGAGAGGGGGAGAGAGGGAGAGAGAGGGATCGAGGGAGAGAGGAGAGGGATCGAGGGAGAGAGGAGAGGGAGAGACTGAGAGCTTGAGAGAGCTGTCAGGAGCGCGACACATTGGCTCGACCGCATGGCCTGCCAAAGCCCACACATCTCACGGGCAACTCGCCTTGAGAAAGTCTTCAGAACGAGGGGATGAAATTAGCGGTGCGAAACTGAAAACGCAACTCAAGTCATTCCCACAGCTAGGGGGCCAGGGGAGAAAGAAAAAGGCAGTGAAAGGACCTGCGAATTGCCGTGGGGCATGAGCTGAATACCGAAATTTGTTGACCCAAGCTTCGGCACGATCGGCAGGCTGGGACGCAATGCCCAAGTCACAAGGAGGGCCGTCTGCGTGAGGGTGTGCCCTGAGTGCAGGGCCCAGTCGAGCGAAACTCGCTGGCCCCCTTTCCAATGGCCGTGAATGCGGCTCCCACGCATCCCCCGTTGTTTTGTGTTTTGAAACGAAAAAAGGACCGGGCCCTCAAGCTCAGGATGAAGCGGCGTCTTCCGAGAGACCATGTCCAACAGTCGGTGACGATCCCATCACCGCCGGACACAACTCAACCCAGGGCAAGGCACCTCCATCGGAGGAGCTCTTGCAGCCAGGCAGGAAGCCGCGACTCAGCTGCTTTCAAATAAACCCACGCCCCTTGAGAGGAGCTAATATCCTCAAGAGTGGATATGGTGCGAGGCAGGAGAAGGGCTTGGCTGTAAGGCGCGCATTCAGCCATCTTGGCATCAGGCTGTAGGGGAATGGCGTGCCTGTGCGAGTCTCTGCGAGTCTGTGCGCCAGTGGAAATAAAGATGGCTGAGGGACCATTGAGCAAGGGTGTAAGGGATTGGGAGGGGAGAAAGCGGAACATGCCCGGCGGAGAAGCGTGAGTTACGCCAAGAAATCCACTCAAGGGTGCAATGGTCTCCTGTAAGTCGGAGGGGGGGAAGGAGGAGGGGGCGATCTCGCCAGCAAGTGTGTGGGCGATTGTGAGAAAGATGAAAGCACATGTGACAACCACCAACAGGGGTCCTCTCTCATGGCTGGACATCACAAGGGTGCAATTGGATCCAGCCATGCTTTTTCCTTTCCTTTCTCCAGGACGCTGGGGGTGTTTACCCTGTGCCGTGATTTTTGACGTTTTCGCCCCGCAAATCCCACAGTCTAAGGGGGGTACTTACCCATCATATAGAATGGGAGATTTCCAAAGAGGGCGATACAGGGCAAAACAAGGGAGAATAGACAGCAACAGGAAAGGAGGGAGCGGGAGAGAAGAGGAGGAAAAGGAAAGAGAGGAACATCGGAGGCAGAACGCCTCTTCCCAGTTACCCACCAGCGTGTCTCTCGGGAAAGTCCAGCCTGGTGGGATTTGGAATACAGGCAGCGGAGAAGTTCCACACGCATGTCAGACTGAACGGGAGAATGGCGATACATGAACCAAGAAAACCAACGTAGCTGACCAGCCATGTGGCACTTTGGTGAGCTTGGTGCCTTTGTGCTGGGGATGGGGGGAGGGATCTGTCAGGGAACATGGTGCATCCGAGCATGCTCGAAGTGGTGCCGCAAGCTGTGTCCCTCTCCGGGTGAAGACCGAGCTGGGGTCGGTGATACGAAGCAACATGCAAACCGTTTGACAAGAAGATGGCCGGTCCGAGCTCTTCTCCCGCCATGCCCTGCTCATCTTCCTCTCGTGCAGGCAGGCTCCTCCTGCTCGTGTTCAGCAAGACTGTGGCCAGGTCGTCATCGGCAAGGGACATTGGCAATGAAGGCGCCTGGCGGCTGGTACAGATCCTGCTCCTGGCACTCTTTGGGGAAGTGCACCTTTTCGGTCACAGCTGTGGCTAGCTCAGCCAGCTGGCAGGGGAGATCCTACAATTGGTGGCGGTTGGCTCGGAGTCCTCAGCTTGGCAAAGTCCCGACGGATCGAGAGGAAAGACCACGCAGGCTTCCAAGGCAATGGTGGGCCCAGCCGGCTTGGAGTCGAGCCTTTGTTGGCTGTCGAGACGGAAGAACCAAGATGGCCGCAACCGGTGTTGATCCTGCAGTTGACCGGAGACCTTGCACCAATGACATGATCAAAAGTCACTGGTCCGAGCATCTGTAAGAAGTGTGTCGGTAGATTGGTCAGTGTGTAGGAGGTATTCAAGGGAGCTATGGCACTGGCGCAGCGAGAGAGAGAGAGAGAGAGAGAGAGAGAGAGAGGGGGGGGGGGGGGGGGGGGAGAGGGAGGGAGAAACAAGAACCATGTACCCAGGGAGGTATGAAAAGGATAGGATGAAGGGGATGCAAGTTCACACGAAATGCCGAACAAGTGGCATGCCTGCCGGCGCCAGGAAAACGCGGCAAAAGCCTGGACTAGGTAGGGCTCTCCTGGTAACTGGAGGAGGAGAACTCAAAAGGGCGAAGCAGAGGAAGAAACATCAGGATTTTCAGCCGGACGGTGATTCGGCGAAAGGAGACAGCAATAGAGGGCAATAAACGCATGATCCTCTCCGGTTAGCGGAATCTCGCGGCAGAAGGGACCCAGGGGGGAGTGTATCATGGCCTGTGGGTTGGTGGGGGGGAGGGGGTCTTTGACCCCTATTCTCTCTCCTCCACCCTACAGCATGCAATATCTAGACACAGGGACACTCGGTGAGCACATGAGCATCGGACGACGGACAGGCACACCGCACAGACAGCAGAGTCCCTCCCCTTAAGTGGAGGAGTAAGGCCACATTTGTCAATCGGGAGAGAAGACATATGAGATGACAATATTCTGGGGTGTATTGGATCACCGCGGGGCAACATGGGAGGGGGTGCGACAGCGCTCAGGTATGAAAACGGAGAAGCAAGGAGGAGCAACAAGGAGGAAGATGTCCCCCCCCCTCTCAAATGCACAGGAGCCATGATTCCCCTCGCACAAAATCATCCCTTCGTCACTCGGAAAGGGGCAGGAGAGGGAAGATTCTTCAGCCCTTTAGAGGGAGGGAAAAGGGAAGGAGAGAGAGTGGGCGAGCGCGCTTAGGCGGAGGAGGAGCCAGAGCCAGTCTGCTTGGGCTTCTCGATGGGCTTGAAGTCGGTGGTCTTCTCGCTGTAGTCGTAGGCGTGAGCAGGGACCTTGCAGTCGAACTTGGTGAAGGTCTTGTAGCCAACGGTGTCCTCCGGGCAGAAGACCGAGAAGGAGAAGGTGTTGTTGAGGAGAGCGCAAACGGAGTGAGGAGAGGCGTAGCGGTCCATGCCACACTCGTGGGCGTCCTCCATGGCGGCGATGCACTTCTTGTTGTTGCACAGGGAGTCGAGAGAGACACCGGCGAAGCCGCCGGAGATGCAGCTCTTCTCGAACTTAGCCTTGATCTTATCGGCGGACATGTTGTCGCAACCCTTCTTGGGGAAGCTCTTGTTGCCGGCGAAGGTCTGGTAGCGAGTGGGGCAAGTGAAGTAGGAGAGGTCGGCCTTGGCAGCAGAAGACTCGGGCTCGTGCTTCTTGCACCAGTCACGGTGGCTGATGACGATCTCCGAGCAGTCCTCGAAGGCCTTGGAGGTGTCGACCGGCTTGCCGTCGAACTTGTTGGCAGTGGTGACCACGCAGTTGGCGTAGGTCACGGCGGCGGAGATGGAGGAGCTGTTGCAACGGGAAGACTCGTTGCGGATGGCGTAGGCGAAGTCGCGCAGCGAGCTCTCGCACGGGTTGGTGGCGGAGTTGACCAGAGTGCCGGCATCATCGGAGGCGAGCTCGATGGGGGCGCCAGAGGCGACGGCCAGGATGGCGAAGAAGGCAAGGAGGAAGGCGGCCTTGATCATTGTGGAAAAGGGAGATTCTGTGAGGAAAGGAGGGAGGGAACAACGTCAGGAGATGTTGCACTGACCGGCACCTGGTGTTTCGGTGGCCACCGGGGAGGCATTTATAGAGATGCCGGGGTGCTGGGAGACTGACGGATTGTTGGCCCCGCGCGACCTCTCCCTCGCTCCTCGCCGCGCGCGTGCACACACCCACGCACCCACCCACACACGCACACAGACACGCACACAGACACTCACACAGACACTCACACAGACACTCACACAGACACGCACGCAGAGGCACGCACGCGCGCGCGCATATTATCACCCAAACGAGCGCCCCCCCCCTCCCCCCGGTCGGCTGGGCCCCATACACGACTTCGGGCAGCGAATGTGCGCTCAAAATCCAAGGCCCGGGCCTCTCTCCAGGAGGCAAGAGGCTAAGGGGCGAGAAAGAACCGCCTGGGGAAACTCGGCCGCAGTAGTGGCGGCTGGAGACCGAGCAAGCGCATCTCCCTGAACATTCCTCCCTCTCTCGGAGGGCGGCCCTGAGCTTGAAAATTGCCGGACCCAGTCCGGGAACACCGTCCGGGGATGAGCTCGCCAGAGTGCCCGCGAGGGCGAGGCAAGAGGCGGGAAAAAATGGCTGGAACGTGGGGGGGCCGCACTTTGGGGAAACGGGCCGGGTATTTGCAAGGGAATGGCGGGTCTGTCGGCAGTGCGCCACATTTTGGTCGGGGCCGCGACCCGGGCCGGTGGACCGGCTACTGCCCTTCCGGGAACATGGGCGCCCGGTCCTGGCCCTCTGGCCCATCCCCTCCTTTCCCTCCCGGTGGGGCAGGAAAAGCGGGGTAGGGGGCGGATACTAGTTTGTTTGCCTGGCCGTCTGTCCAGACCGGCCGGGGCCCTGCCCGCCCCTAGGTCCTGGACCGCCGCGTGGAGAGCCCGTTGTCGATGTGGTCCCCAACGGCGGGCCGGAGTGTGTACCGGGGGGGGGGGGGGGGGGGGGGGGGGCACACACACGCCATTCGGGCTTTCTTGGTGTCGCTTCGGCTCGGCGCGCGCATTTTCTTTTGGCCCCGCATCTCCCTCCCTTTCCGCCATGCTAACGGCCGGGGGGGGACAGTGAGGAGAATACCGCACCCGGGTGAAGGCACCTCCCTGTTCGTCCATGCGACTGGTCCGCAACTCGCGCCACCCCTCATGGGCACAAGGGCAGGATCGGGGAGCGGGCCGAATTGGAATGGTCCAGCCCCCGAGGGGCACGCGACCCTGGCCCCGGGGAAAAGTGTCCTCTCCCCTCCCACGTTGTGGACCCCTTGCATCGGGGAAGGCCGTTCCAGGAACCGCGGGAAGGCCGGCAGACGAACTTCGAGACTCGGGCCGGTGCACTAGACCAGCGCCATGGACGGCCTAGCTGCGCGGGGCCTGGGAACACAATGTCAACTGCTCCCCCTCCTGGGGGAGCGAAATCTCCATCCCAGACGCAAGTATTCTTGAGATGAACCTTGGGCTCCTGCCCCCCCCCCCCCGTCAACGAGCAAGCGTGGATGGAAATCCTCGGGCGAGGGCGGGGGAGCAACATGACGACACGAGGAATCTGCAACAATGCAGGTGCCATTCTCAGCCGGACATAGTCTGTTGGCTGCTTCAGGCATCCCCGGCTCGGACGGCCAGGGCTGGCCGGAAAGGCCGGCCCCGGGGCCGGCTGGCGCTTCCATGGAGCAGGCACAAGCCCCTGGGAGAAGGTCCACTCCAGGGGACATCCCCGGGAGAACCCCACACCCGCGGAATATCCGATCATGCTTGAACTCCAACTTGGGGCATGCCCCGAGGAGGAAAGGGAGGGAACCGGCGAGGACAGGGATCCGGGATCACGGCCACGAACGGAGCGACGAGAACACCACGGCACACACCCACACCTACAAACATCCCTCGGCGGAAGGCGGGGCACAACCGGCGCCTGGGACCCGCCGGGCCGGCCCCTCTCCCGTACTTTGGGCCATAATGAGTACTCCTAAAGCCGAAGGACAGGGTCCGACCATGCCACGCTTGCCGGCCGGCCGGCCGGCCAGCCGGCTGGGGCCTACATGCCCTCCCACCAAGCGCAGACCCTGATGGTCGCCGGCCTGGAGGACATCCGAAAAAGAGGAGACGGGAACGCCCCCCATGCTCCACAGGAGCAAAGCCCATCACATCGGGCAGCCAGGAGGGCCAAGCCCAAACGCGAACTAGCCTCCGGCAGGAGCCGGAAACGCCTTTCTCAACACGCGTTCAAGAATGAGCCCCGCTGGGGCATGGGTCGCCAGGGGGTGGAGGGGTCATGAAACAGATCGAAACAACGCAACCGGGCGGCAACAGGCACCCTTTCAACGATGATCAGGCTCAGGGTCCTCGGGCTCCTGAGCCCGCTGCTGGGGCCATGCGAGCACAGCCGAGCGCAGAAGAATGTCAACCGCTGGTAAACGACAGAGGCAAGTAGCCGAGAAGTGAACATGGCGCATCGCCCTCCTGACAAGGTGCACAGGGAGGAGACACTAAGATACTCACAGGGGCCATTCTCCCCAGACACATTCCGTCGTCGCTCCCTATGCTACCGCGGCCTCGCCCTGGGAGATGTGGAGGACGGAAAAAAACGACCGTGGTCCTCTTCGGGAAGTAGCCGGGAGAACTCGAAAACTGTTGCCCCCGGCCACGCGGACCGTCGGAACACACAGCCAGAAGTGTCATCATGGACCTCCCTCAGGCAGCAGGCCTACCCTCCCCATGCCTGGCCTGGCAGGCCTCGGGTCTTCGGTCCTGGCCGGGGGTGGGGGACAGAATGAGGCGGTGAATGTTGTCCCATCCTCCGCTGAGCTTGGTTGTTCCTTCCCTCGGCTTTGGCTGTTCCCGAGACGCCGAGGCACCTGCGGGCGCCCGGGGCTAGTAAGACCAGGCAAAGACGGCCTACAAGCCCATCGAGAGGGGGGAGCTGGCTCTGGGCTCCTCTGACTCGCCCCTCCATGAGGATCCGACCCGGCCAGTGTGCATCAGGGCACGGGCCGAAAAGGCCCCCTCCCCCCTCGTGGTCCCAGAAAATGCCGAGCGAACCCGCCCGGTCTTCGGGAGGCTGGAGAATGCGTCCAGCTTCGCCACTTCGGCCAGGGGCTCGGCCTTGGTATGCTCTTAGGGTCATGTACAGGGGATTGTGAAAGTTCAGGGACGGGATATCGCCGGAAAATAAGGCGGGATGTTCGTCCTCACAGTTGTATCATGGGGCCAATAGCAGGAGGACCGCGTCGTATGATCAAAGGGCGAGTATGTCACGTTCGGCCGCCCGATCCCAGGCCGACAAATCTCCCCCTTCCCAGTCCACCTCACTTCAACGTGCCGTTCTCCGATCGGCATAAAAGCACAGCAGAGTCCATATCGGAAGCACCATCATCGACAAGCTTGGCTTACATACATACACAAAGATATGGGGAGAGAGAGAGAGAGAGGGGGGGGGGGTGTCTATATGCCTCTTGAAGAGGCGAGGGCCGGGGGAAGATGCGGAAAAGCCGTGAACAGGGGGTGGTGCACGCTCAGGAGTGGATCTTCGCGCGCTTGGACAGGAGCGCAAAGACGAAGTTGGCAATTTGCTGCGACAGACGCAGCGACTCGAGTGGCGGCAATGCCGAGCTGCCCGTTGTGAAGTAAAGATTTGGCCCGATGATGTTTGCCAGCGCCTTGAGACTCATGCCGTTGACCGAGCTGAAGAGTGCCACTTGGCAAATGAGATCCAGGAGCCAGAAGACGATCGACCGAGCCGGGTTCGGCACCCGAGTGCAAAGGGCCTCGTAGCAGGCAGCCTCATCGGTGGATGCAAGTGCCTCAGCTGGCAGGTCGGACAAGATGCATGCCGGGAGCTCGCGGAACCAAATCTTGATCAGATTGGCCACCGCATATACATCTTCCACCTGGATCCCCTGGGGGTCGCCCTTGTGGCGATTGATTTGCGACCGAAGGAGGGTGGCTGCGGGATGCGTAGGTGAGTATGCGAACCGGGCGGGGGGGGGGGGGGGGAAGCTCATGTCCAGGGTGAGGGGGGGGAGAGAGAGAGAGAGAGAGAGAGAGGAACGCACTCGTGTCACCATCCTCATTTGAGAGGCGGAAGATCCCGGGCGCTGAGTAGCCATTGTGCTGCGTCAGCAGGGTCTTGAGAGTGACCAGTACTGGCGGGACTTCGAAGATGTGCTCGGCAAAGATCTGATCCGGGATCAGCTCAATCGTGGAGATCGCCATGCCGAACATGGAAGGCTCACTTTGGATGTTCAGACAGAAGAGATGATGCGGCCCGCCTGCTCGGTGTCACAGCCGGGTGGGAGGTGGAGGTCAGTGTCAAGGAGGGACCACGATCGGCCGACTGGACATGCGGGGAGTGATGGCTCGTGATGATGTACCCTCGACCTCCATGATGATGATGTCCTGGATGTGGACCGTGGTTTTGCAGGTGAGCTTAAAGATGATCTCTTCGCGCGGGCCGCGTCCGGAGGACTTGACTCGTCCCGACAGGGGGGTCACCTCCAAGTCGTAGCGAATATCCCGCGGAGGGAGGTTGAACTTAAACTTGACCTTGCCCACTGGATGGACAGGCGGGAGGGAGGGTCAGAGAGGCGGAGGGGAGGGGAGGGGGGGGGGGCTTGACAAAGAAACAGACCCGGAGGCAAGGCGTACTCTTGTTGTGGATGAAGATCTTCTCCACAATGGCCTGGCCAATGGGGGCCGTGATGCCGTTGAAGTTGATGTAGTAGTTGCTGACTTCGGCGAGCGGTGGACCGGAGTTACGATTGACGATGTCACTGAGGACCGAATTCCGGGTTCGGAGGATGGGATTCTCTGGGGGACAGGGCAACGAGGGGGGATGGGAGTCAGCGAGCGGGAGGGGGGGGGGGGAGGAGTATCCGAGCGGCCCTTGGGCTTCGAGGAATACGCACTGGCGTCACTGAGGACCTTCGACTGCATGGCATTGTAGGAGGTTGGTGACAACTGATAGATGTAGCTGTACAGGAGTTGTTGCTCCTTCGGTCCGATGACACCCTTGGTGGCGCTGGGAGTGTGGGGAGGGTCGTGAGTTTATGGAATGCTTGCGCGCGCGCGCGCGTGTGTGTGTGTGTGTGTGTGTGTGTGTGTGTGTGTGTATGTGTGTATATGGGCGTGTATGTGTGTGCTCTTTGGGCGGGAAGAGGGGGGAAAGAGGGGTTGGCTGGGAACAGGGAGACGCAATACGCACCGCCGCAGGAGATCCTCATAATCTCGGTTCGGCTGGGGAGAGAGGAGCCCACTGGGCGCCGCAGATGACGGGGACTCCGGAGCGGCGACATCCAGGCTGCGTGAGACCTCCAGAGAAAGAGACGGCCCAGGTGCGCGTGCAGAAGCCGCGGAGGAGGCGATTGGTGCCGCGGCGGTGGCCCCGGCAACGGTCGCTGCAGGGCCGGTGGACGAGGAGGCTGCCCCGGGCGAGGGAAGCGCCACCGGGGAGGAAGCGCCGCCAGCGGGAGACGCTGTGGCAGCTGTCGCGGAAACGGCCAACGAAGCCGGCTCGGGCGTGCCAGTCGCAGGGGCCAGAGAAATGGAGGAAGAGCCTCCGGAAACGGCCCCGGCCCCAGGAATGCTTGAAGAGATGCTGGCGGGAACTGGGCGAATGGGCGAAGGGAGAGGGGGGGGGGGCGGCGAAGCTGTTAGACAAGGAAAGGGCGTGGTGAGGTAGGGAAGAGAGGACGTCCTGAATGGCGCACCAACTGGCTCCGGGTCGAAGGAGGGAGTGTTGGTAGGCGGCGAGGGGAACTTGTCCAGGAGCTCCTCGATCGACAGGAGGATGAGCGACTCGAAGGAATCCAACTCGGCCAAACCAGCGGACATCATGCCTGTGCCTCCTCCAGTGGAGGATGCCCCTGTTGAGTAGTGCCCGGGGAGACCACCCGGCGAAAGGAGCGCGGTGCTGGCCATGGCTCGGGGTGGGCGGAAAGACACAGGTGACAGGGGGAGGGAGGGGGGAGAGACGTGTGTGGAAGTGGGAGAGGACAAGAAGGGGAGGGAGGACAAGAGGGGCGAGGGTGCGGAGGGCTAGGGGAGCGAGAGGAGGAAGAAGGTGACAAAAGCCGCGGCAAGGCAACTCAGTGTCGGAGCGCATCCTGACAAAGATTCGCGCCCAGGGGAAGGGGGTTGAGGGTGGCTGCGTGGTCACAAACAAAAAAACAACACCCCCGTCCGACGCCGGAGGGGAGAGGGGCTCGTGTGCATCCCTCGGGGGCGCGGGGGCTCGGGGGAGTGGGGGGGGGGGACATGCAGTTGGGCAGTCCCAGCGAGGACGCAGTTTCTCCAGCGCGAAAACCTTGCCGTGTACTGGGTTCCGGCACGATCTTGCACCTGTCTGGCTCCCACTCTGAATACAGGGGCGGATTGCGCGAGAAGGGGCAAATGGGGGGG